TTTTTGTTGCCATCACTGCAGAAAACTCTGCCTCACAAGAATAGGCTGTTGGAAATGGAAGCAGGATTTTCGGTGCTTTTTCACAAGCTTAGGATATTCCACCTTGTTTTTTTTTTTTTTGGAAGGGTCCACAGGGTGTTCAGGGTCTCACTACTAGATCAGACTCATAGTGATTCTTCTGTTTACAGCCTCCCAAGTGCTGGGATTACAGGCCTGCGCCACCACACCCAGTCTCAATTGATTTCAGCCCACCCCAAGGGCGGGGCCAGCACGTGGGGATCAAACCCCAGCCGCTGTGCTCTTCCTACACAGGCGCTTTAATCTGAGATAATTAATTTAGAAAGAGGGGCCAGGCTCTTGCCTCTAGTGGACAAAGGACCCAGAACATTTGGCTCACCGCACCTTTATTTACTCAGACATGGGAGCAAACAATTACAATAGCCAAGATTCATCTGTCTCCCTTTATCTATAGTACATGCTCAGGTAAACAACTGGATCTCAGCTGTGTTGACTTTTCCGTGGAACTTGCAGTGCACCAGTGTGGCTGCATGCCACCAGAGGAGCTCACTTGCCGCCTTCCTCCTTTAAGCTTGCAGAGAAGGTCAATTAGGTCTCTCTCCTCACTGTCTGGCCTTCTACATCTGCTAACATTGGAAATGTCAAAAGTCCCAACGTTCTATGGCTTCTCAGCCTTTTGGCTAAGATCAAGTGTGGTATCTGTTCTTATCAGTTTAGTATCTGATATGTCCTCTAGAAGAAAGCCGAAGAAAGGAAAAGCCGGAGGTGACAGACAGGGCCCTGGGAACAAAGCCGCTGGACCTCCCCTTAGCTGAGGGGGCAACATAGACAACTGTTTCAGAACTTGTTAGGGGGGAGGCAGAGGCCACTGCGGTGAAACCCGAGGAGTCACCTGCGGAGGCTACCTCATCTGTTGAACCCGAAAAGGATTCTGGCTCAGCGGCTGAGGCTCCTCGCTAGAGACTGAACTTGTCCAAATGTGACAGTGACAGTTCAGGAGTGTAGTGCTTGTGGTGTACAGACGCTGTATTACATTCGCTCCTGCTATATATCACAGCCCCGCAGTAGTTGGTGGGGCATTGTAAGCAATTTGATTGCTTCCCTTCTATTTTAAAATAGCTACAAAATAACAAAAAAATACTGAAATCTGAATAAATATTACCCCTTTTTGCTGTAACCTTTTTCAAGTTTTGACTTTAAAAAGTTTACAAATCTAATTTGAAGTGCTTCCTCTCTATTTTTTTTTTTTTTTTTTTAATTTAAGATAGGGTAACGGTGAAAGCTCCTCAAAACAATAGGGATGTTTTTAATAAACTATTTTTGTAAAAAAAAAAAAAACCCAATGTTCTCACCTCCATAATTTCAGTTTGGCTTTGAATGCAGCCATTTTCTTTGTTCACTTGAATGCAGTTGTCACTGTCCTCTGAGTTGACACATTAAGCTTGTTGGGTAGGTCGAATATGTCACAGAAGTATGCAGATTTTGCGATTCATGCTGCATCATTGAAATGTGATGCCAGTGGAAACTTTTTTTCTAAAAGAAATCTCTGGAGCAGCTCTTATAATTCTAAAACTCTGGCCAATGATCTACCTTTAGAAAGCCACCTGACTTCTGTGCATAAGAAAAGATTTATTAAAAAAAAATATATTGCTCTGTGCCCATTGCCTCAAAGAGCTGCATGAACAGACGTGAATTAAGGACATGTACATTTTTGTTTGTTTGTGATATATTTGTTTGGATTTTTGAGACAGGATCTGACTGTGTAGTTCAGGTAGGCCTTGAATTCTTGAGGGAACCCCCTGCCTCAGCCTCCTGAGTGCTGAGATTATAGGCGGGTGTCACCATACCTGGCTCTCTTTTACTTTTGTCCTCTGCTTGCTTTCTTCTTTCCCTAATTCCTTAGCATAACAGCTTATATTACTGATTTGAGACTTTTTCTTTGCTAATATGAGATTTTTTTCCTCTCAGCCAAGTGTTACCTGCAGTTTATAGTTTTTGATGTGCTGCAGTTTTTGTCTTCATTCATTGAAAATATTTGAAAATTTCCCTTGAAAGTTCGTTCCTGTTGGTCTCATGTGTATATTTGACAAATACCGTTTTTTGTTGCTGGCTTCTCACTTGATTCTGTTGTGGTTTGGGATATCCTTTGTATGTTTTCTATTCCTTTAAATGTGAAATTGCCTTATGCCTGAGAATGTAGGCTGTGTTGGGGGATGTCCTGCTCCACCAGGAGCAGGATGTGCAAACTGCTTTTCTCAGGTGCTTTGTGATTGTCAGGTCCAGGGCTGAAATCAGCTCTGCCCTTGCTGATTTTCTGTGTGTATTTATTATATCTATTACGAAGAGAGGAGGACTGCTTTGTCTGCTTCACCTGTTAACACTGTCCATTTTGTTTTTAATTTTCCAAATTGATTTTAGGGGACAGGGTCTTGGTATGTTTGTTGTCCAGGCTGACCTCCAAACCGCTCAGTATCCTCCTACAGGTACACCCGGCTTACTCTCTGGTTTTGCTTCATTTATTAGCTTAGCTTTTAATCTGAGAGGTGGGCAGACCACACTGAGTCGCCGTGTGGACTAACACTGAGGAGCTAGCTAGCCACCAGATGGTGACATCAACTGCGCTGTGTTGCCTACCGTTCCAGGTGCTATCTTGGCATCCGCTTCTATAATCCCTGACTGTCCATGAGGACCACAGTGGTGCCATGTCATTGCCATTCTCTAAGTAGGAAACCGATCAGGATGCTGCCTGTTGGTGTGCTTCTCTCATGACCATTCTGCCCTTCCCATCAGTGTCTCGTGCCAGAGCTTGGCACCTGACTAACTTTCCAGTGAAATTCGATGGCTTACTGATCTCACCATGTAATGTGCGGTTAGATAAATGTCCACAGTAGCCGGGCATGGTGGTGCACACCTGTAATCCCAGCACTTGGAAGGCTGAGGCAGAAGGATCACCACAATTTCAAGGTCAGCCTGGAGTACATAGTAAGTTGAAGACAGCCGGGACTACTGGACTACACAGTGAGGCCTTATCTCATCAGCTTAGCAGGTTCTGTCTTGGGCTCTAGAAGGTGTGTGAATGGAGGTAGGCCTGAAGTTCACAACGCAGCAGGGGGGTGAGAGTGGCCCTAAGGGGGAGGGACAGGTCCCACCATGGATCCCATACCAGGTGGCACCCCTGCTAAAGGAGAGAACAAACAAACCATCAGCACTGTGTTGCATCTGGCCAGGACACACCTTTGTTTATTTGAGACAGGACTTCACTGTGTAGCCCAGGCTGGCCTCCAACTCCTGGTAATCCTGCCTCAGCCTCCCGAGCGCTGGGATAACAGACGTGTGCTATCATGACTGGCTCACGGCATGCCTTTTGAGTAAAGAATGAGTGAATGAAGCCTTCCACCTTCCTACAAGGAGTTAGGGATTTGAGGGACTGGACTCAGCTGTGACAACTTGGTTTTTGTTTTTAAAATTTTATTTTTTTTTGGCAGTGCTCAGGCTAGAATCTAGGGCCTTGCGCATGCTAGGTGAGCACCTTACCACTGAGCTACCCTTGTAGGCCTACAACTTTTAAATTTATTTTAAAAATTTAAGATGGTGTTAAGGCTGCTTTACTTTATGTGCTATTATGGTTTGTGTTTAGATATCCCCCTAAAGCTTCATGCAGTTATAGGTGGGGCTTTTTCAGAGGTGGCTGGATCTAGAGTGTGTGGTGCTGGAGCTGATTCATGGTGCAATGCTAGCTAGGATCAAGAACACGAGGACTGGGGCATGAGTGCTGCCTGCCTGAGTAGCTCGGATAAGATATGAAGGCTAGAGAGAACCGTGGTGGTGCCTTGTTGTTTTGCTACCTTCTGCCTACCATGAACCATTTCTCCTCTGCAAACCCTATCTGCCAGGCCACCCTGCCTTGGAACGAGTTAATTATGGATTAAAACCTGTACAAACTGAGCTAAACAAACCTTTCCACCTTTAACCGAGGTGTTGGGTACTTTGTCTCAGCAATGAGAGAGAAGCCATTAAGACACGTAAGATTAGCAACACCTCTGAGCAATGACTCTGCTCAGGAACTGCGTGCAGCAGACCTGTACATTAGAGTTGCTGTGGCATTGTGACATTCTAGCAGTCTCCACTTCTGCTTTAAGGTGGTCCCTGATGTCCAGGGCTCGCTTGCTCTTGTATTGCAATATCGTGCTGACATAACTTGGGTTAGTGTCCCCTCCTCGCTGGCTCTTGCTCTAAGACATGTGTCTTCCTAGGAGGGCCCTCCAGAAAGAAGGTGAGACAGGTAAGGTTTCTGTCTGTGAATTAAGGCCTATGAATTAAACAGAGGAAAGGGATGGACTAGCCTTGACGCCAGTATGCCCTGCATTCCCACACTTGTTCACACCTCTGTCCAGAATGTGTCCGGGGTGGTCTCAGTGGAGGAAATCTGGGCTCAGGTTGGTTGTGGACAGCTTGCCCATGGTCACCTCCCCCCTCCTGCCCCCCCCCCCCGGTTGGGTGGAACTCCTGTCCTTGGCCTAGACAGTGGCTGCCAAAGCTGAGTCCTTCCTTGGAACCAGGTAGCCCTCAGTGTAGAAGAAAAAAGTAAAGGGATTGCCTTAATACAACACATCTTTCCTCCTGCCAGGGCATAAATGTAGAGGACAGAGACCCAGGCATAGTGCTGTGCAGCGTGTTTGCAGATGAACAAACGTTGCCTCCTGAGTGGGCAGTGCCCGAACCTGTGCAGCCCAGGAAAGGCTGAGGGCTGTGACCCTAGAGGCATAGTTGGCATGATAATGCGCCCTGCCCATGGACCCTCTGCTCGCTTTGGGCAGCCCTCATTCTTTTCATCCTGTCCTTTGATGCGCGTGTTAGTGCAACAATGGTCAGTCTATTGCATGGGATCGATGCGACTTTGACTCTCAGGCCCCTGTTGTTTGTTTGAATGTCACAATGTACCCAGGTGCTGTTGACCTGCTGCAAATCATTCCCTAACAAGAGGACATTGCTCTGAAGAGACTCCAGGGCCCTTGGTCAGGTGAAACTGCTATGAGCCTCATCTGCACCCACCCGTGGGGCTGTTGCTGTAGAGCTGTTGCTGAGCCCATTCATCAGTGACCCAGGTGACCTGAGTCATCCCGGGGCTCAGCTGACATTTCCTCCTGACTCTGGTAGGTGGCTCCTTCTGGTCATCCCTTCACTTTTCTGCAGCCTATGAGCTGGAGGGGGCGCCCATTCTTAGAGTTCCTGGGTGACAGAAAGCCAGGACTTCCCAATGTTTGTATGAGGTTAAGCTGGGGGCGGGGGTAGGGGCTACCCTCAGTTGAAGTACCCACAAGTATGCAGAGGTGACAGGATTCCACTGCCCTGCTCACTCTGACACAGGTCTGATACAGATTTTGTTCTACACATCCAGTTTCAAGATAGAGGCCTGTGCTTGGGAATGGGTCCCTATGACAATCAAGAAGGGACCTTCTTTTGTCCTTGGTGGAGGCTGGGGAGCCTGGAAAGCTCCCCTTTTGCACCTGGATTCTACTCTGAGCCATTAGTCATTTTTCCCTGTTAAACAGGCCTTTCTCTAGGCAACGAAAGTCCTCAAGGTGACCCAGGCTACCAGATAGATTTTTTCTTCCTGCCAGAGGCAAGGTGACCGGGGCATGGGGACCTGGGTGGAGGAGAGACAGTGGGGCCATATTCCAGTTTTGATCAGTTTGGCTGTACTGTAATTGAAAGACCTGGGTAAGTGTCAGTTAATTCTTGGTTCAGCTATGTTGGTTAATTTGTTTCTTGAGATAGGGTCTTGCTATGTAGTCCAGGCTGGCCTTGAACTCGCTATGAAGTCCTGGCTGGCTTTGAACTCAGTGTAATTCTCCTGCCTTAGCCCCAGTAGAGCGCTGGGACTGCAGACACATGCCACCATACCTAAGCATTGGTTAAGTTCTGAGTGCCTCAGCTTGCTTTCTTCACCTCTGCTTCCAGGTTCTGAAGGGAAATAATATTTTTTTCTTGTTTACTTCCTGTTTCTCTGGGAGTATTCAGGATAAACTTGTATTCTTATCCACTGGGATAGGGCCAGCTCCTCTCCTGGGCTCAGAGCCCCACATCTTGTGGGGCCTTCTGCTAGGACTCTGGATGCTTGGCTTGGCTAAAGCTGCCTCTGCCTTCGCTGGTTGGGTCTGAGGCTGCTTCAAGCCATTGACTCTCTTGTCTGCAGTGTGAATAGGACTGAAGGACAATAATACTTTTCTAAGGTGGTTGAGGATTGCAAGAAATAAAGCATGTGCTGACCTTGGCAACGAGTATTAGTGAAACCGTTGTCCTGGTCACTTTGGTCTTTGACCCCCATAGAATGCATCAGGCCTCCCTTCACAGAGTGCGCAACACTTGGTGGAAGGCTTTACCAACTCTCGTAATGATTTCAAGCAAGAGTGCTCTCCCCAGGGCCCATCAGGAAATAGGGGAGAGTGCCCATAGTGGGGTGTGGGGCCATGAATGGTTCTGGAAGATGCCTTGTTTCCCTCTCCTACCAAGTTTCCAACCTTGCCCCATTCCTCCGACCCCATTGGGCTCAAGCTTCCCAGAGCTGTGCCTGACCATGCCAGCACTCAGCCCTGAGTCTCCATACCTTTCTCCGTGTGCCCTTTCCCCTAGCTTGATGTGAGTGTATCCTGCAGCTTACACTCTTCCCTCCGTCCTCTTTGCCCTGGGTAAGTGTGTCCCAGTTCTGTGGTTTAGTGTCAGCCCCCACAAACCCCAGGGGCCCAGTGACTACGGCCCAGCCTGGCTGTGGGCCTGGGGGCAGTCCTGGAGCAGCTGGGCTGGTGGTCCCAGTGCAGGACGTACTTGTCAGCCCCTTGCCACCCACTGGCTTTGTAGATGCCTGAGAGGCTGCTGCACAGACAGTGCTGCGTGAGCACAGTGTATCAGCATCAGGAACAGGAGTGCCCTGAACATCCTCTGGGGAGGCCACACTGGTTGGACCCTGCAGTAACCCTTGGGCAGCTGCTCCCCTTCCTAAAATGAGGAGGAGGGAGGCAGCATCTGTCTCTTGTCTTTCTGCTCAGTGAGACGCTCCTGCAGCCCGCTGCAGACTCCTCCGCGTGGGGAGAAGTTTCCATCATGTTGACACTGGCACCTCGGGAGAGCAGAGGACCAGGGAATTCTAGCGTGGAAGCGTGGCAGCTCATGTGGGTGCTCTTTTAGGGGCATTCTGGTTAACAATAAATCCCCATCTGAGGAGTTGCTCTGTAAACCTCCTTTGAGGATTCCTTTTTTTTTTTCTTTGCTGTCCTGGATGGGACCTGTAGGTCGTGGTACATGCAAGGCATGCGCTCTACTTCTGAGCCACACCCCAGCCCCCCAGTTGTCCTTTATGGGGAGCTACGGGGCCCAGAACATGGGGAGTGCTAATGATAGACAGATAGGATTTGTGTGGCCTGCAGGGCTGAGTGGGAAGTGACGTTCAGTGCCTCAGCCCGAGCTGTGGCCCTGCATCCTTGGTGCCCTTCCCAGCATGCCTGGCTGCATACCTAGGGACACATGGGCCTCAGCCAGGGACTTTAGGCTGCCTGGACATCCTTCCAGCCCTGTGGTCTTGAAACCTTCACGAGAGCCAGGTACCTTTGTCCAGAGGACTCTGGTAGCTACCCCAGGCTGCCTGGCTGCCCACCTGCTTGCAGAATCCCCATGGAGATGTTCTGGCACATTGGAGGAGACCTCGGGTGGCTGCGCTGGAGAGCCGCTTAGAGACGAGCATTAGCCCTTGAGCTTCACTCAGCAAACATTTGCTCTGTGTTCACAGGGAAGTGGGTACTGGAGACCGATTAAAAAAAAGTCTCCAGCCAGAGGAGCTGCTATAGAAACAGGGATAATAATCAAGAAGTTGCAGTTGACATATAATAAGGACATAGTACCTTAGGTGGGAGGTAGTGGAATATTTCAACTGGGTTTTAAGGGATGAATAGGAGTTTGCTAGTGAGAGGCCTAGGGACCAAGGACATAACAGGCACGTGCACTGTAAAAGGGCCCATCTAAGTGATTAGTTGGGAGTTGAAAGACTGGCCAGGCTGTGGAAGTTCTGCCTGAAGGGATGTGACTCAGTACCAGTGTATACTGGGACTTGTGTTTCCTGTGGGGATCAGGAGAGTTCAAGTGAAGGTGGCAATGGGGGGGGGGGAGCCCTACAGGGACCCTTGCTGTGCCTGGGATTAGAACGCTAGAGATAGGCTAGATGGCTGCTTATGAGGTGGAAAGACAGATCAGGCAGTGGACAGAAGAATGAAGCAGGGTGGGGACACGGCAGAAGCAAGGTGAGGTTGAGGCTGGGGGCTGAGACGGTGATGGGGAGAAGGGGTGGGGAGGAGCCAGGGCTCCCCACTGGCTAAAGGTACGCTGTTCTCCTCACTCAAAGTCAGGACTGTGGTCCTCGGCCAGTGCCTCCCACCCTCATGGCTGTCCCGCTGTTCCCAGCCATCAGTGTGCAGGGCCGTGCGGTCAGAGGGTGCTTAGTGTTATCACGTCCCTCAGGCATGGTGTGTGCCCTGGCCATGGTGCTTCTGCCCCAGCCTGCATTGCTGAGGTGCCTTGGGGAAGCCCTGCTGTGCTAGCGCAGGGGCTAGGAGCTCTGGGGCCCTGCCTGGCCAGCTGGGTGCCCATGTGTGCCCAGTGCTATGGCGAGCCCTGGGCAAGGCTGTTTCTAGGGACCCACTCTGGTGCCACTTCCCGAGTGGTGCCGTGTGTTCCTGTGCATGTGGGCCTTGGGCCATTGCCTCATGGAAAAGCATAGACTGCTGTGTACTGGGTCTGGGCTTCCAATGTTAATTAATGCTCCTCCCTGGGCCCCATATTGAGGTGAAGAAGATTTGCCCAAGAAGTGAGGTTGATGAGGCAAGCAGGCCACAGTGGAAGATGGCTTCATGTTGACACCTAGCCCCTAGTGACTTTCTAGAATATTCCCATTGCCACTCGGCAGTGCTGTTTGAGTGACAGGCGGAGCTTTGCCAGGGAGCAGGCGCTTGGTGAAGCGAGAATTGGGGCGCAGGCTGCTGCTGGTCCCCCAGGGCTCCCAGCCCTGTGTGTGGGGTACTGGCTAGGTAGAGAGGCATTTCCTCCCCACCCTGACCTGAACAGTGGGAGATAAAAACACTTTTTGAAAGAACTTATTTTATATCCTGAAATGAAATAAAGCAAAACATCCCATTATAGCAGGCCTCCAAAGGGTCACCACAGTGATGGTTATAACCCTTGTCATACCTTTTACTGGGAGTTTTACTTTGAATTGTTTGTGGAGAGACAGCTGCTGTTTTCTTCCCGCACCCCCCCTTTTTGGTTGTATTAAGTCTTGAACCCAGGATCTTCACAGTCCTTTTAAAAGTCTTGAAAAGATTTTGATTTAAGGTCTCAGTTAGTTGCTAAATTGACCAGGCTGGACTCAGTTTCTATGATTACAGGCCTATGTCCAAGTGCCTGGCTTCAAGCCCTTTCTTTCTTTTTTAAAAAATAATTTATCTTCTTTTATGCTTTCATTTTTATTTTAAATCTTTATTTATTTGGTACAGGGCCTTTCTGTGTCATTCAGACTCATACTGATTCTCCTGTCTCAGCCTCCCCAGTGCTGGTATTACAGGGGTGCACCACAATGCCCAGTTTTGGGGCTGGCACAGTGTACTCAGGGGCAGGGCCGGTGTGGCATGTGGTGCCAGGGATTAAACTCAGGTCTTTGTGCTTGCCAAGGATTAAACTCAGGTCTTTGTGGTGCCAGGGATTAAGCTCAGGCGCTTGGTCCACTGAGCTATCTCCCCAGCCCTCTTTCTAAAACGAAAAAAGAAAAGTTTCAAGAAGAGTGCAAGAATTCATCACCCAAAAAGTTAGAGGTGGCTGAGTGTGGTAGTGCAGGCCTATAGTCCTCAGAAAGCTGAGGCAGGAGCATCTCTGCAAATCTGAAGCCAGCATAGGCAATATAATGAGTTCAAGGCCATCCTGAACTGCAGAGCAAGACCCTGTGTCAAAAAAAAAAAAAAA